TCGTTTAAACCGATATTATAATTTGTTAATAATATTCCAAATTCATGAATATTTATCCTTTATATCGGTACAATATCGTATAAAATGGATAAAATTTTTTCACAAATTAGCCTTCACTATATCGGCTAATAATTTATCTAATCATCAAATTATCATTAAAAAATCTTTTTCATATCGGCCTTATATTTTCTACATGATAAACAAATCATCTTAACGATATACGAATGTTAATTTCCATATATGCATCATAATTTACCCTAATCTTCCATATATCAGCTTTTTTTATACACTATCATATCAGTTCATAGCCATTACTATATCGTCCTGCTATCACCTAGGCCGATTATTTGAAGATACAGAGAAGATATTTTTGATTTCAACCTGTGCACGTAGATTTATTAAAATCTCTTTGTCTAATTAAGATGTCTTTTTACATTACTTTAATTGTTACTAAAGAGGATTTTAATTCCTTTATGCAAGGTTTCACCAAATACTAACCTGTTCCAGATAATTTTAATATTATCTGATAGAAATATTTTTACCCCTTTGAAAAACCTTATGTCGAGTTTTCAGTTGTGATATTGTGATGTTTGCAAAGAAATTTGTAGTTGAGAATTTGAAATAGTATATTACAGCCTCCAATGTTAGTGTTGTTGCAACTAGAGATCCAAATCAAGAATTCAATTCAGTTGATATTCCAATAAGTATCTCTCAATATATGCTCCCTGTATTGGTCAAAAGTGAATCTCAGAATCTTAGAGAAATTACTTATTTTGATACTGAATATTCCCAGTATAATACTTTTACTAGTTTTAAAAACATTCTTATGAAAATAAGAGTTCTCTATCCCACCAACTCAAAATGGTTCACTTATTTGCATACTAACAATAGCATTAAACCAGGCAGAACTTTTCTCATATCTGGCTTTTTTAGATATATAAGCTCTGATATGACTATAATGAAAACTACAGATATTGACTTTTTTATTATCTCTAATGCTATGATGACAATTGAATTAGAAAATAAAATTTTCTTATCCTCGTCTAATTCAAATAATCGATTAGATATTGATCTGATTATTGATAAGATTGAATCTAATACTTCCAGCCTTTGATAAAACCACATAACTTAAACTCAAGGACTTATAATCAAGATAATACCTCTAATGTTAAGAATTTATCAGATTTAAATTCTACGTCTTCTACAAATATGACTAGACCTGCCAAAACCCGAAAAGAAAAAAAAATTATCTGACTTGGCCTTAGATTATCTTGGATTAAATTGGGACAATGATGATGAAGACAATGATGATCAAGATAAAGAAAGCTAGACTGAATTTGTAGAAAAAGATCTTGATAATGAAATTAAAGTTTTGGAAAAGCAAAAATTCGAAGAAGAGAAAAAAGGTAAAAAAAGAAATAAAGAAAAAACAGTAAATTAAGCTACTTTATTTTTTTATCAAAATATTAAAATATATCTTATATATTTCATAACCTATGACCACAAATCATTGAAGTATTTCATATACTAAGTAATCAAGTCTGTATAAAGTATTATAATAAAACTTATTAGTGCAGACTTTTTTATAAAGATAGTAAAAAAAATAAATCACTACTACAATTATATGATCCACCATTATGACATCATACAAAATGAATAACATCTTTATTTTTTTATAGGCAAACATTCGTATGATTGAATATTTAAATCAATTTAATTTTACATTATTTTTATAGCTTAAAGTACTTTTTTTTTTAAAAAAAAAAAAACTACGAAGAATAAACAAAAAAGAGGTTTTATTATGGTTGTAGCACTCCACTATCAAAAATAATCAAAATCTTTTTTTGTTTTAGAGAAGTTAGCATGGTGATAACCTTATTTTAAGAAGTCATCATTATGCTAACATTTCTAAAACAAAAAAGGATTTTGATGATTTTTAATAGTAGAGTGCTACAACCCTAATAAAACTTTTTATATATCTCTTTTTTGTTTATTCTTCGTACTTTTTTTTTTTTTTAAAAAAAAAAGTACTTTAAGCTATATAAATAATATAAAATTAAATTGATTTAAACATCCAATTATACGAATGTCTACCTATGACTTATTTTCACTGTAAGAGATAAGCCATAAATTCTGGCCTCATATAACCGGGAGTTTACCTCTTATTCTCGCAATTGCAAAAAATAAATAATACTTATTCACTTTTAATTTTATTTCTTATTTCATCTAATCACCGATAATCATATAAATGTCTACCTATGATTTATTTTCACTATAAAAGATAAGCCATAAATCCCAGCCTCATATGGAGTTTATCTCAATTGCAAAAAATAAATAATACTTATTCACTTTTAATTTTATTTCTTATTTCATCTAATCACTGATGATCATAATAGTGAATATTATTAAAATAAGCCATTTTTTATATTTATATTAAATTAGCATTTAAATATTGTCTAAAATATGTCAAAAAAATCTTTACTACTCTTTAAATTATTTTATTTCAGTAAGATTATAAATTATCTGCCATTCCTCATTAAGCTACTTATTTTAGGTTATAAATTTAATCAGTAAGTATAAAATAATTTACTAATCAAAGTATTTAAAAATAATGAATACACTTCTTATTAATTTTATTAGTTTTATTGTTCATATTGATTTCAAGTCTATTCAGTCAATATTATTTATTAATCAAATATTTAAAATAACCTCTGTAACTATTATTAATTTCTTATCCATACTAATTTATTGATTATTATAACTTTATTTTCTAAAAATTCATATACAAAATAAATTTTAGTCTTATCTGAATTCATATTGTATAATGCCCTACTTGCACTTATACTGTATAGTATAATAATACTTATAATCTAAAACTAACAAATTACAAAAAATTAGGCTATGTATTTTCACTACAATAATTTATGCCAAATTAAGACCAATTGTCTTCTTAATTCATCTATAAAGACCAAACTGGCCTAGTTCTAAGTTAGAGAGCATAACCAGTTTTTAGTCAGACTGACTAACAGCCCTAATTGTCATGTGAGTTAAATTTAATATGTAAATATTACAGAATTAGGTTAACTTAAAATTTCATATCTCTTAATATCTAGCTATTTTCTCATTTTTGGTTTTGCTCTATAATATTGTGCAGCTACATTATTCTCATATTTATACTATGAAATTAGGATAATATTAATACATTATATTTGTTAGTTTTAAAGTAATTAGTCAATAAAATTTTGAATTTCATTTTATCCAATATATTTGCAAAACATCATTTTTATTGACAAAAATTTTTTATAAATGGCTTTTACTTTTGTAAATTTGTATTTAATCAATTTTACTAGTAATTACTATATATGTTCTGAAATATATTTGCATCTATACCATATATTTCTGTGATAAAAAACCAAGATGCCACAAACATCAATACTTAGAATACAGTTGATTTAAGCTCTTTTTACCCCTTTTTTTCAAAATCATTTAATTTTGGCTTTGTGTAAAGATAAGTTCTTTCGAATTAAACTAGTAATTTTTAATATTTAAATTTTTTTGAATAATTTGTCATCACTAAATTATTCTGATATATCATCACATCACATTTCATATGAATTACTTTAATTTCCCTTTTAATATATTTTTATCTATCTTGAATCTTCTACTAAAAATCCAGTGTCCTTTTATTATTATTATTATTATTTGTACATAAAAGTATATTAATTAATACTAATTATTACAGATTTTTACTTTGTTAATACATTCTTATAAAAGGGTGATTAAAATCTTATTATTGATAATCAATTATATTAGTAATTTAATTATTCTTGAGTATAAAAAATTTATTCAGTCTTTATCAAATTTTTACAATGTCATGTCTATTTATCATATAACTGTCAAAAATTTATATGAAGATGATTTATTTGAAGAATTGGATGACTTTCTTTCAGGCCATCAATCTTGAATGAATGTCAATGCAAACTATCCACAAGCACCTACTTTATCATTAACTAGACAACAAGTGATAAATGTGCCAACTTCTTTTCTTTTATAGAATTTTTCATATGCTTTGATCAGTTTTAATGATTGTTTTCAAAATGAAGTATTATATATGTTCCCATGCATTCCCTGCTTACATTGCTCTATACTTATGTATTCATCTCAAGCAAAATGGTTCCACATAATGACAGTGTAACTTATAATCTTTGTCAAGCATTTCCTCATTTATCTCTCACTAAGCACTCTAATAAAAATAATTATATTGCTGTATGTGCTTCATGCATATCTGCTAATAAACACCATAATGCTCCAGTATTATCACCTATTCCAGAAGTATTAGCAAATGTTCTAATGTTTTATTATTGATGGCTTTCACCTTTTCATCTTAATAGCTCTCTTGGACATGCAAAAAATACAAACCAATTTACAAATTATCGTCATCTTATTGGTATATTTGGTCTATCAAGAAATATACATGCTTTGCATCTTTATTTAGAGGTATTAGGTACAATTTTAGTTCCTGTAGCTGAAAATAACTGGTTTCATCCAACTTTACAACATGCTGCTAATTAGTTAAAAAATAATAATAGATTATTTAGACAATTCAATTTTTTGTTTTTCTCAATTAATAGTGTATATTCACCTACTAATTTTCCTATAGTACAATTAATTGAAGAAGAAAAATATACATCAAGTAGTAATATACCATTACAGCATCATCCAGATTTAGTAGTACTATCAAATAATTTTAATCCAGAAATACATAATAAGGATTTTTATTACTCTAGATTAATAGCAGGTTTTATAAAAAACAATATCAATACAGACTTACCAATTTGACATAATGATCCTAATTTAGAAGTATTAATTTTTTCAGATCTTTTTTCTAATGGTCATGGTTATTGGGGAGAATTATATCAAGAAATTAATCAGCGGCATCATATTGATACATATGCTAAGTATATCAAACTTAGATTAATATGTCCAGACCCATGTTTTTAACTTTATTAGTACTGGCCACATTGGTCTTATATTAATTTAGAAAAATTATGCAATCATCAAAATGAGCAAAGTATTTTGCGTTAACAAGAAACAGACTGTCAACAACTTCCAACAACAGCAGATTTAATTAGCCAAAGTGTTTATAATAGTTATTCTATAATTAATGAATCATTAACTACTACTTTATCTTCATATATTCATACTGGAAATATATATTTTTGCTAGCATGAATATACTATTAATGCAATAGTTCAAAGCTTTGGTTTACCTTAAATTTTTTATACTACAACTATGGCAGAAGGGCACTAGTTACAATTATTAAAAATTTTATCATGTACAGATAATTATTGCATATTATCTACAAATCAACCTCTATATACTTATTTATATTATCATCATAAACTAAGTTTTATTCATAAAATGTTATGGAAAATCCAAATTTGGCAGAATGGGGTAATTGGTTACACTATTTTGAAAGGATGAATTTCAAAACTGTGATAGTATACATACTCATGGTATAGCTTATATTGATATATCTATTTCAACCTTAATAGAGTATAATATTATTCAAGCTGATCTTTCTGATTCTAAAACAAAGCCAATTCTTTATAATTTAGTTCGCACTCACCAAATTCATTGATGTCCTTGTAAATGTGGTGGTCCACCACTTCCTGGTAAACAATGCAAAAAAAATTTCTTGCTCCTTTATCACAATATACATATGTTAATCCTGCCTTTTTGCATTATATTTATTGCTGAACTAAAGAAGCAGATTGGTAAATTGTTCTCTATTATGCACCAACTTTATTATTATGGCAAGGACATTGTAATTTTCAATATGTTACCTCCAAATCCTTTGCAAAATATATGACAAAATATATTACAAAACCAGAAAAATCTGATTTATTTAAAATAACTAAATATAATACTTATTAATTACATATTTTAGCTTGTCATCTTGGTGCTATAAAATTAATGGTTTTTTTACTTGGATATTCTATTTCTTGATCTTCAATTGCTGCCATATACCTACTATCTACACCACCAAATATGCGTTCTAAATCTATTAAACCAATTTATTTATTAAATAGTATAAACCCTAATCCATACTAGGCAGATGCAATTGATAAATATTTCTTTAAACCAATTGACCTATTTTTTGACAATATTATGTATCCTTATTATCACCAACATTATTGATTACAATCAAATCAACCAAATACAAATACTATATACTGGATTGACCAGCAAAATTAAACAAAAAAAAGCAATTCTAGTATATTTTCAATATCTAACAATTGAAAGTGGAGAACAATTTTTTTATCAACAACTTCTAATTCAATTTTCATAGAGAAATGAAGAAGATTTAATAAGCATATATTCAACCTATTGAGCACACTATCAAACTAAATTTCCTGAACAATTTGCTCAAGCTACACAAAATATAGATCAATCTGCAACAGCAAGAATTATAAGATTTTCTCAAAATTATCAACAGCAAATAGATCAGATAATACATAATATACAACAAGATATTGCTACCATTATTAGAGACCAATTAAATATATTAATGTGCCCTTCTTCTTTAATATTTCATCAATCATTATTAGAAACACCAACTGATCAATATATTGTATTTAATATATTAACATTAGTTTGAGGAAGTATAATAGAACGTGGTCACCCATATTTCTTTTTAACTGGCCAGGCAGGCACTGGAAAATTATATTTAATAAAACTAATTATTAATTATCTTCAATTACTTCATAAAAAATATCTATTAATGGCATCAACTGGCATAGCTGCCCAGAATATTAATGGTAAAACTATTCATTCTGAACTAAAAATTTGTCCTTCTTCTACAAATCATATGAGTCTAGCTTTATATAATGAAGAATATTGACAACATCTTTTATCTATTGAAATTATTATAATTGATGAAATATCTATGGTTTCATCAGGTTTATTAACTTTTATCAGCATTCTTTTTGCACGTTTACATAATAATGCTTTTCCTTTTGAGTTTTACTAATTGGTGACCTTGCACAACTACCCCTTGTAAGTTGGTCTCGAGTCTTTCGATCTCCAGTATAGTCAGAATTTTTTCCTTTATTCTTAACAACCCCACATAGACAAAATCATGATATAAACTTTTGCAAAATATTAGAAGAAATACAATCTGGAATTATTTCTTCATCTACATTACAAATAATTGATAATAAGATTAAAAACCCATCTTCTCGCTCCCCAATAAATGCTACACATATAGTTGGTTTTCGAGCAATAGCAGATAATATAAATAGATTAACATGCCTAGCATTACCTCATGATCTCAATGATCCTATTCCTATAATAGCAACTGCAATTGATCATATAAATAATCAACAATGTAATGCAGAAGAAAATGATTATACATTTCAGCATCACACAAATCTACCTACAACTATAATTTTACAAAAAGGTGCATATGTTATGTATCTTAATAATAACTTATTCGATCATGGCCTCTGTAATGAAACTATTGGAATTCTTACTGAACTAATTGATGAAGATACTGTTAAAGTTATATTTCCAACACAACAAAATATGATTACAGCAATAGTTAAAAAAATAACTAAACGATTTTTGTTAAATGGTATTCCATCAAGTAGGAATCAATTCCCACTACAAAATGCCTTTGCTCTTACTATACACAAAACACAAGGTTTAACTATACCTAATATTTCAGTATCAATTGATGAGCAAATATTTGCCTATGGCCAAGTATACATTGCGCTTAGTCATGATCCATCATGGGATTCTCTAGATATCTCTATATTTGATCCAAATTTTGTAAAAACTGATCCAGAAGTAATTACTGAATATAATCGCTTAACATCATTAAATAATACTGGTTTAGGTAATTTTATGCAAAACTACACTTAACTTCATATCACTATTATTATAAATGTTTATCTTATTTAAAAAAACTATAGTTATTTCATATACATAAATTTATTTTTGTTAAAACCTAATTACAAATTGTTAATTTACCTGATTTCTATAATTAATATAAATTATTATCATATTATAAATATACTTTTCTAAAAATACTCAATTCTATTTATTATAATCTGTAGCTAATTTTAATAACAAATACACTTTCTAGAACCTACTAGATTATATAATATTTGCCTCATGTTAACATAAACCTCTTTAACTGAACATTAACAATCACGATACTAATTTAATTAAATGCCCAGCATTAATAGAAATAGAAAACATAAAGTTAATTTACACCATCCTAACAAAAATTAAATTGATAATCTTTATAATACGTAATAGTAAATGGAAAATTATATTTCTATTTTAAACAGAAGATAGAGCTAAATTGTTTTTTTTTTTTTACCTATTACAGAATACCAACAAAAACCAAACTACTATTATACCAAGAATATAAATTTGAAACAATCAGCTCCCTCACCATTATCCTCTAACCTTGTTCATAGTAAAAAATTTATTCACCTGATCTGCGTGACATCTCGATCGACTGATATTACGTAGATTATTTACATATTGCGTATGATTATTTACATATTGCGTATGATTATTTACATATTAATTACATATATTTTTATCATGATGACTAATTGATGACTATTGCTATTAATTACATTGATTAATTGCATGATGGATCAGTACGGTAGTTTTGAATTCATACGGTATCTGGGATTTTTATGATTTTGCTGTAACCGCAACCGTAACTTGCCGTATTTCGTACGGTTTATTGGGAGAGTTCTGCCTGCATCACTAGTTTAAACCAATTTTAATGGTTTTACTACCATTAGAATAAGAAAAGCCTACTCTACAAACTTTTCTTAAGAATTAAAATTAGTTTACTTAATACGATTTTTTATAAAATTAAAAATAAAAAAAAATTACCATTAAGTTTATATATAATTTAAAATAGTACCCCACCCTTAATAAAACATTAATTAATTTTTATGAAAATTTATAGAATGTGGAATTTATTACTACGAACACATTTTACTTAATAAAGAACTAAGGGCGTTATCAAGCATAACAATCAATCTGTCGAAACGGGTCCTTTTTTTTATCATAGAGTTGTAATTATTGGTCGAAATTTTTCATTGATTGATTAGAAAAAATAATTGCTCAAATACTTCACTCTTTTTACATTAACAACATTATCGTTATGGATCTTACCTTACTACTTATGCTAAAAATCTTCGCCGCCGCATATAAAAAAGGCCCATTTTGTGTTTTGTTAGTTTGTAGTGAATTCTGAAAAGAAGAAACTGAATTTGAAAAGGTTGGTGATTACTTTATACTTTCGTTAATCCATAGTTTTCGATTTGCAAAAAATAATCGTTAAATGGTACGGTAATAAAGATAAAGATGCTTACTCAAGCTTCAATTGTAATTAAATATTTTAATTAATTGTAATACTTGAACACCAGCATGATCATAAATTAAAAACATTGAGGAAAATACGTGAGCATATTCCAATCATATAATCATCTGTTCCAAAAAACGGTCTAATTAATAACGCCATAACGGTTGACACTATC